CATTCAAGAGACATATGGCCAAACCCTTGACATTCATAACACTTGACCCCTGGTCCCCTTACAATCTTTTTTTCAGTAGTTTGAGCAAATTTTGGTGGAACAGTTTTGGGTTTGTCATTACTCTTATCTTTTGAAATAGGGGCTCTGAAATTCGGCTTCTTTTTCAAAAAAATTTTAAACTATTTTGTAAGCATAGCCGTCATCTCAGACTCTAAATCAAATTCAGTCTCCGGAGGTTTTGCAGTCTCATCACGAAAATCGAGTAAAATCATCAACAGTTAAAAAAATGTATCTTTTACCTCCGATGCTTTCAGTGCGAGTAGGACCCATTAAATCCATGTGAACCAATTCGAGAGGACGTTTGGTTGTAAAGCTGTTCACCTTTTGATGAGGGGCACGGGTTTGCTTTCCAAGTTGACATGGTCCACACACATGGCTCAAATTCTTACCTAGTTTAGGTATTCCCCTCACAAGCTCTTTGTTGGCTATCTTAGTTAGGTCTTTGAAATTCATGTGACCTAATCTTTGATGCCACAGGTCAATGTTACTAATGATGGTAGAGTGACAAGTGAGATCATTAGTAGTAACAATCCCATAGCAGTTATCAGATGTGCGAACCCCATGTAAGACAGTATTTCCCTTTTTATCCAAAATTTCACATTTATTTTTTGAAAACAATACTTCATGATGGGAATCACACATTTGACTAATGCTTAAAAGATTTGCTTTAAGACCATCAACTAGTAGAACATTATCTAGCTTGGGAAGACCAGCAACACTTATAAAGCCCTTACCAATGACTCTCGAAGTGCCGCCATCTCCAAAGGTAACAATTCCTCCTTCATGGTTTTCAAGGGAGGTGAAGTAGGATTTGTTACCGGACATATGACGAGAACACCCACTATCAAGATACCACATGTGTGAATCACGTGCTTTTAGAGCAGTGTTCTTTCTTCGCTCGAGCGAGCAACACAAAATAGCACAGAAATTACAACTCGATTACACAAGTTTGTTCGTGGAATTGACAAGACTTAGGGACCTAACAATCAAAGGAAATTATTCATCAATCATCAAAGTTGGACAATTCATCTAGGTTATCCATTATGATAGCATCCAAATCGGTTTGAATCCTTACTTCTCATCAACATCTTGTCTTCTTCGGGCTGCATAGAAATAATCTCTCGTTATCATCAGTGCCCCAACCATTTCGGGTGTAAGTCTGTAACAGTAATCATTCAACAGTCATCCACCTACACTCTAAGCTATTTTAGAATCCATTGTAGAAACAGAAACACTTAGTATATCACGGGCCATATGTGCAAGCACATGCCATACTTGTTCATGTTGTTTCCACCAATCTAAAATATCAAAATCTTCTAATTTACTTTCATAAACACAAGGTTGATCGAAATACCATTGTAACTTAGAAGTATAAGTGTTTGCATTTTGGGATATTCGTCTATTTTTTTATTTGTGACCAAATTTCAAGACCTCCACCACGAGATGAGTTTGTTTTAGTATATGTAAGTGGTCTATTTACTATTACAACATTCTTATATTCCTCAAACAATTGTTTGAGTGTTTCAATGATAGGGGCTAATTGATCTTCGTTACTGAAAATAAATTGTAAAAAAGTTTGTAAACCAAAAATCTTTACACTGAGGATATATTATGATGGCTAAACAAAAAATGTGAGGCAATAGATCAAAATACTTATCAAACTTTCTCTTTCATTGGAACAATAATATTTGTGGGGACATATTTTTAGGATCACACCACATGGCCTAGGTGTTAGCCGAGGTGTCAAGTGGACGAGCCGTGATGCCGAGATTATTGTTATGTTGCCGAGATGTGGTGCAACAATATTGGAATCTGACATGTTCGGATGGAGGACAAGAGTCCTAGATAAGTTGAGGCGCTTAGTTCGGATAAAGATAAGGCTCTTTACTGAGATCATTCTTATCTAACTAAAAGTCCAAGATAAGTGTTGTGTTTGAGTCTTATAAAGTGAGACTTCTAGGGGACAAGCCTACTGATTATTATAAAAGTAAAAATACTTTGACTTGTGCATTGTTCACTTGTTTGATATCTTTGAGAGATAAGTGACTAACTTGATCATCGGAGTACCTCAGGTGGGCTAGCCACCGCAGTATTCTTATCTTCTTGTGTGCAAGTGTTTGGCCTAATCTATTATGTTGCATGCTCTCCAACTAAATTCTCTAGATCTCGGTAGAGAGATATGTTTGATTGTGAGGTCAAAAATCAACACCCACAATATTGGAATATTTTTCATCTGAAAAATAGTTAGTGAAAATCATCATTATTTTTGCTAGTTGATCTAAAGCAAATATAGAAATAGGTATACATATATATATATATATATATATGAAAATAATTGTGTTAATTGATCAAAAAAATTTAAAAAGTCTTTATATAAATATATGTGTACACTCAGTTTGGAAAAAAAAAAAAAATTTTAAAAAGCTTTTTAAAAAAAAAAAAAAATTTTATATTTTTTTTTTTTTTTTTTTTTTTTTTTTTTTTTTTTTTTTTTTTTTTTTGGTTTTTTTAAGCTACATGTAACATATTGTATATCAAATTCTACCTAATTTCTACGTCTACAGGTAATTTTCTTTCTTTCGTTTGTTCTTATTGACATATTTTTCTATACAAATCAAGTCATTCAATAGAACTGTTAATTTTAATAATTGGATTTCTACTAACTCATAATTTCTTTAACAATCAAATTTAAAACATGAGTACAATGACGAACATGAAATAAAGTATCACTAAGAGGTAATGATGATAAAGTGGATTTAAAATAAGACATAGTCTAATTATAATGTATTGTATTATCTAAACTAATGATAAATATTTTATCGTGCAAAACTCACTCAATTAATTCATTCTTTATTGCTATCCCAAGTGAATGACCATTATATGAAAGTTCAACTAATTTAAATAAAATTATTTTTTATTCAATTTTCGTTCATTATCTATATAATGTATAGTAATGGATTGATATTTTAAGCCTTACTTTGACTTCTGCATATCAGATGTTAAATAAATTTTTTCATTTAAATCTTTAAAAATATTAAATAATCTTGCTTTGATCTCTTGATATATTCTTTAATACTCCTATTTTGTTTCTAGTAGTGTTTCTTGAAAAACCTTAATATTGAGTTGTATAAGCTCATTCAACTAATTTAACATAATCACTATCTTTACTCATAGTAAAAGCATATTCACATTTTGTTGGCTACATATTTTGTAAAAGCCAGTTACAGTTCGACACGTGGCAGAGTAAGGGTAATAAAGGAAGGTTATTCAAGCCTTTAATCCTGATCGTACACGTGGCAATAAATTTTGGTCCTCACATGATCTGAGTAACACTAGATCAATAACGGGATGCAAGATGACATATCTTCAACGGTTACTCATATTCAAATTCAAGTACAAGAGGGAAGCTCAACTGCCAGTAATGGCGTAATGGAGCTACTTGTAAGGAAGCATGATCAGCGATCATGGAGGAGCAGTTCGACGGTTTGAAGTGCAGTTCGAAGGTCATCACTGACGAGTATAAATAGTAGGGCAGCCCCCAGAAAAAGGGACGGAACGCAGATCATACAAATCAGTCATTTACTTCATATATTTTCTTTTCCAGTCTTTTACATTTCCAGTCTTTAAATACCTGTTCTTTAAATACCTGCACTTTAAATACCCGCACTGCATTCGATTCATAGGAGTAGCTTCAAGTAGATTCAAGTAGATTGCTGTTGTAAACCTCTCTGAGGCTGAGTTCGGACCATTGTAAGTGTTCATTTTTATGAAATACTTCAATTGTTCTTCATATTACTGTTATTTCTATTAACTTCTCCTAAGTCAAGCCACCAGTAAAAGTCCTCTTCATTGAGGCTGAAAAGAACTAAAACACAATCGTCTGATAATTGGTTGGCAATCACAATTTCTGTAAGGACTGATTGATCCTTGCTGGCACGCTCACATTCACAAAAATACCCTTCGAAAAGCCAAAAAGCCAACACATTTAATAATATAATTAACTAGCATATCTTGTGCACATATAGGATCAATGAAAATGTAGTCAGATTATTTGTTGGAGAACTCCCTAATTGCATTTGATTTCTAATATCTGATTGTTGACTTTGTAAATGCGTATGACGATGTCTTCTTAAATGACTAGTTCCACCTACTCATAAACCATGATGACTTGTTGCACAAATTTTACATTTTGTTTTCAATTCAATTCCACCATTCAGAAGAGATGTAATTATTATTTCAAAATACTGCCAAACACTAGACTCTTTACATAACAATAATGCTACAGACCCAAATATAAAAACTCAGAAATTACCTAGATTTTCACATCAATGGCTCAAATTCGTTTCATATATGGACCCCACACTTCATCAATTCAATCTACACCGCCCAAACCCATTTCTGGGTACATTCTGGGTTCGAAATTCTGTGACCCTAGCTTTTTTGTTTACATAATGATGATGATGCAACAAGGGTAGGAGAACACACTACAACAATTTGCATTTTTAGCGACCAAATTTGGCTACTAAAAGAGTTTTATTAAAAATTATTTTGGTCGGCATTGGTTTGGGGTGTAGCTACTAATTTTTCTTAGATAAGGCATGTTATCTATTGGCAACTAAAAAAAAAAAAAAAATTAGTCACTAAATATGTCACCATAGGCGACTAAAAAAAATATTAGTGGACATTAGTCTAGTTTTTAGGCTACTAAAGTTTGCTTTAGTCATGATATATTAATTTTTACCGACTAAAAAATATTTTGTCGCCAAATAATAGCCATAATTTTACTGTTAGTCTTTGGCTACCAAAATATTTGTTGCCAAATTATTACTTTTGGTGACTAAAAAAATATTTAGTTGCCGTTAGTTTAGGTTTTGGCTACTAAATAATTTAGTCAGTATAAATCAACATTTTTCGACAAAAAAACTAATTTAGTGGCCAAATCGTTTATAAAATTTCAATGGGAAAAAATTGAGATTGGCGTCCAGATTTAGATCATTCTTCTCTTCCTCTCTCTCTTACAAATTTTAGATCATTCTTCTTTTCCTCTCTCTCCCGTTCTCACAGAGAATCAGTCACCACTAAACCTCACCGCAGTCACTCACCACCATCGCTCAACGTACGTCGCACATCGCCACCGCTATTGCCGCAATACAAACAAGTTCCTTCTCTCTCTCTCTCTCTCTCTCTCCCTTCCTCTATTTTCCCATTTCCCACTCTTGCTCTAGGGTTTTATATGATTTATTGAGTTTAATTTATTGTTTTAGTAATCTACTTCCTCAAGATCGACATTGATTCCAATGCAAATGACAACAAATATTTCATTCTCAATCAGGATTTCTTCTGGTAACTCCCAATTCCTTATTCCTCAATTCCGATTTCAAACCCTAGGGTTCTGATGTACATTATGCTGCCATTTTTGGTTTCCGATTGATTGCTTTTGTAAAAATGTTAGTTGGTAATTGTATTAAATCATATATACACCTGCAATTTGGAATTCACCATGTTTAGAGAGCAACTCCCAAACCACATAATCAAGTATGCCATTGTCATAAACTTTGTGTTCTTTTTACAGATGTTTGTAGTATTGATTTTATATGCTTGTGTATTCTCTTGGTGTTTGTTAGCATATAACTTGCACACAATGTGCTTGACAATATGCCCATGAGAGAGAAGTTATTTTGTTAATATGCATTTCTGCTTATGAGATGCCAATTTCATGTTAACATGTGATTTATATATTGTCAAGAAAGGATTGTCGACCCCTTATATTTTGTAATCTCTTTCTGCAGAGCTTGGAAAGAAAAAGAGGGACAAATATGAAAGTTTTCATGGAGAACAATTTAGATGTCTGATTAACTTATTTAGAGTCAATTTAAGTCTTATTACACACACACACACACACACACATTCATGAAGTATCTAACAATTATACTCAACAATTACATCGGATCACTCGGGTTTTTGGTTGGGGAAGCATCGAATCCGTCAATTATATCGAATCACAACAGGGAGTAGCTAGAACGCGCACACTAATCTAATCAGAATGCTTCTGGTTGTTAAAGCTGCTAATTTTCACTTCTAACCTATTCTAAATTGATGCAAATTCTCTTAGGCAACACAACCTACTCTTGTAACACAATAGATAAAGCTAAAAACAAAAAAGATAAGAAACAATCAGCTTATTTGCATATAATTATTGAATTTCGATTTTATTTTCTTCAAACTAGGCAAAGTGTTTCATAACTCTTCATATTCAGAATATTTTTCCAGATAATATTATTCATTGTCATGCGTGTTTGATGTTTATTGTTGAATGAATCCCTTTGGCAGGAACTTAGGAAACTTTTTGACAATCTTGATCAATCATTTCAAAAATGATCTGAAACCAAAGAATGAAGACATAGAGGTACCAACTAACACACTAGAGAACACATGTTCATGTTCATCTCATGATTGAATTGCCTGAGCAAGATTTTTGACTAATACATAGAACTAGTTAATACAGAGGTATAGCAAAAGAGATGAAAATCTGTGTTTTTAGTGTTTCTTATTGTAGATGTTCTTCTAGGAGACTTCATATATATGTTTGTGTATTATTTAATATAACAGAGTGATTAACTAAAATGAACAATACATACATGGTTTTTCTATTTATTCTATTAAACTTTCATTGTATCCAAATAATTGCACTCTTCTTCATTGTATGTTTAAATGATTTAGGAAGAACTTCCTCTAACCATGCGATTGATGCCTGAGTACCTAAATTATGTTATTTTATGATTAGAAAGAAAACTTGGAATGCTCTACGTATGGCAGATAATTAATACAATATTCCTGCATCTTAGTATAAATTTTATGGTTGTCTGAGAGTCACATCCAGTTCTAGCGAAAGCATCAAGTACATTGGTCAATCTGCTATGCATCTCATGAGAAAATAGACTAATTTGATTTCTATTATTTTAATTTTAGATAAACTATTTGCAATATGAATTCTGCTCTATTTGACACCATGTGTATTTTGATGTTTGTTTCAATTTTCTTCACATGATGGGCTGCTTTGAGGTTGTGGTTTCCTTGCTTTATGTTATTTGTTACACAAATTAGTGAGATAATTTCACTTACATTCTTTAAGCCCCGTACATCATGATATGGTTTTATGCTCAATTTTCTATACTTAAAAGATTCATTTACCACTTAGAAATTGAGATATGGTGTTTTGATTGTAAAGTTAGGTTGATGAATTAAGGAAGTTTATGAAAGAGTATGTGAGAAATCAATTTTCACCATCAAACTTGAGACGCTCTAATGGCAAATGTACAATGATTGTTTACCTCTTCTTATTCACTTCAAGATGCAAGTGAGTCTGTCTCATATACAATTATGAGTGTGAATCTCATTGTTTTGTGTTTATAAATCTCATTGTTTTGTATTTATGAGTGAAAAAATAAGATAAAAAATAATTATACGTGGTGCATTGGTAGCAGGAGCTCGAGACATGCCATTTGACTCCTACAACTATGCTATTGTTTTTACCTCCGACTATCTACACAACAATATATCTTGCTTCTTTAGCTCGCATTGGTACATTTATTTTTTATTTTTTTAAACATCTTTCCATTTCTCATTGATATGTGAGGCATTTCATATCTCGCGCTGATATGTTTTCTCAATCTTCTCAAGAAAGTCAAGTGGCCTCAATAGCTTTGTCCTCATATGGTACAATGGTAAGATAATAGGCCTCCAACAGAATCACATCTTTCAAGTTCTAAATCTTTCTACAGAAAATGAAATTTACTGGTCTCCTTAAGCTTAAATAACTCAGTCGTACAACTGTTTGTTTAATTGAATTTTTTGAAGGATTCCTCTGTGGACCAATTACCATGGTAATTTGTAGCCATTTGGCATGGTAGTGAATATATTTTTTGTGTATGGAGGACATGATTTTCGTTTTATTTTTTTCTTTTGTATGCAATTATTATTTTAGGTTGGAAATCTTGGTTTGTATGAAATTTGACATTAAAAGTTATTCATTTTTTTTATGGTTATAAGTAAAATGGATGCAAATTTTGTAATGATTGATAAGATATGTATTGTTTTGATTATATATATGGTACAAGTCGCATGGAATACATACAGGCTATGGACAAATTATTAAAAAAAAAAAAAACATAACATGATGTTTTTGGCGACTAAACAATTGGTAGCTAAAAAGGAAGTTAATATTTTTAGCAACTAAATAGTTAGTAGCTAAAAAAAAAATGAAAGCAAATCTTTTGGCAACTAAATATTTGGTTTAAAAAAAAATAGCGACTAAAACTTTAGTAGCCAAAAAAAAAAAAAAAAAAAACTTAAAAAAAAAATACTTAGTCAAAAAAAAAATTAAACTTTAGGCGATTAAAACTTTAGTAGCTAAAAACAAATTAGACTTTAGGTGACTAAACATTTAGTAGCTAAAAAAAAAAAAAGATGAACAAAAAAAATTGGCGACTAAAACTTTAGTCGTTCTAAATAATTAAAGTTTTTGGTGGCAAAAATTTTTAGTCGCTAAAAATGTGATATTAATTTTATTTGAAACCTTTTTGGCGATTTAAAAATTAGCCGTCAATTAAGAACTTTCGGCGTTTAAACTTTTTTTAGTTGTCAATTACCTTTCCCAACAATTATTTCACGACTAATCTGGTGACCAAACAATTTAGTCAGAAAAGGTTTCAACGACTAAAAAGTGACTTTGGTGACTAAAAATTTAGTCGTCAAAAGTGTCATTTGTTGTAGTGACAACTAATCTGTGTTGATCAATAGTGATAAAAATCATGCAAATTTACATTAGTTTTAGGATCCATATTAACAATTAATTAAAAATTAAGTAACTAATAATTATCAATTAAAATAATTTATGTTACCGAAGGGTGAATGTGATACAAAACTTAACTTCTTCTGATAACAATTTTTTCTTGCACACTGGCAAATTATTGCCACTTATGAATTAGCCTTCAAAGTTGAGAGAGCTGGGAGTTGAATTGTGAGTGAAAGAAAAATTAAATAGGCGGTATTTATAGATTTATAAAAGTTTTTTTTTTTTTTTAAGTCAATGGTAAAAGTTTTGAGCATTGGTGGAGTGAGCCCTTTAATTTAATGTGACCGTTGGGGTTGGGTTGTGCGGGCCAGTGGGCGACCATTGGGTGGAAGGGGGATGGGCCATGGGTTCGGCCCGTAAATGATCGTTGTGTTAAAACCTACCATCACCTACTCCACCTACTACACACCTACCACTACCACCTACTACCACCTACTCCACTACATCTCCTATATAAGGAGCCCCTCACCATTTGTAATATACAACATATATCAATCAATAATACATGAATTTTAACATGGTATCAGAGCAAGGTTAACAACCTAGTCATTCTGCTTCACCGGCGGGCGGCAGCCTCCCGCCTTGCCGCCGCCGGGAACCTCTAACACCACACACTAGTAGCAGCAGCCACGGGAAGCACACACCTCAAGCAGCAACGCCCGTGCTCTTCTCTGTTCCGGCGCACCCACATTCGGCCGCAGCAACGCCATGGGACCCCTCTGCACTGAGACCACTCTCGACCTCTCTTCTCTCTGACTTGGGTTGGGGAAGAGGGTTCTTCCATGCAATTTTACAGCCACCAGAGTCACTCAAAAAAAAAAATCAAAGGTCTGAGCTCACCACCGAACACCAGCTAGCAGTATGAAGATGAGCGCAGCGCAATCACGGAGGAGCCTCGCCGTGCTGATTCTTCTACTTTTATTCCCTGCCTCTTTTCGCTCCATTTAGCCTACGCCTCTACTTCCCTTTTCTCGGAATGAATTGCTCCAAAACCCAGACACTTACGTCACTTAAGAGTGCTTACAGGCGTGAAAATTCAAATGCAGCAGCAGTCTGATCTCTGGACTCCTTTGGCTAAGACAAGGATGGATGCCGTGTGTGGATTCACTAATGTCTAACTTTTTTTTTATTTATTACTAATTATTATTATATCAAATAATCAATGCACTCCTATTCCCACTCCACTTCTTTTCTTTTTTTATATTTATTTTTTAATCATCTTTTGTCAAACAACCGAAAGTTTGGCACACCCTCATCTCATCATTTTATTTTACCCAACTTTCTTTATTTTATATCTATTATATATCTCTCTTTTTTTATTATACTTATATTACCACATTACTTCTCTTCCAACTTTATTTTCTTTCTCTTTCAAAACCAAAAACACAACACAAAATAAAATAAAAAAAAAAAACAAATCGCAGAAGAAGAAGAACTGCACACCACCACTCATTTTATTGCATGTCGGGCTCAACCCGCGATCAACCATGTTCCACCATAACCACAAAAAAAAAATAAAAACAACAAAACAAAACCAAAAAAAAAAACCACATCACAACACTAAGATTTGTTTTCTTTTTCTGCCAGACGACACCACCGCCATCACTCTCGCCTCTACTGTGTCGCCGGTCTTTTCTTTTTGGCCTCCCTCCTGGGCTGGCTTTGACAGTGCTACCTCAGTACTTCCTTGTCCACCGAGCACGTTCACTCCCCATAACTCCTCACTGCAGCATATGGCGGACCTCCAAATCGGAACAATAACGGTGGCTTTCCGCTTCAGCTCTTATTTTCCGCTCTTATAGCCAACTTATCTCTTGCCGCCGCATCCTTATACATGCGTTATGGAGCGAGCCAGCTGGGCGTTTAGACTGCTGCAACCTCATTTTCCTACTCTGCAGCCGGTTGGGCAGGTTTGTGACCGCGATCATGGTCCACACATGACTTCAAAGGTATACTGATTGGCCTCAATATCAGTTTGCACGCCAATTTTTGCCTCCACCGACCGCATCGGAAAAGTTCAACGGAGCAAAAACCAGAGCCGCTTGGTTGAGGTTCACTGGCCACCGCACCAGTTATCTCTCTTGTTGCACTCGTTGAAGGTCGGGGAAAGAGAGTGAGCAGACGCAGGGACGAAGAGGCCATAATTTCTGGGTAGCTGAACGGGAGACCGAGGCCATGTTAGTGGTTTTTTTTTTGCTGAGTTGTTTCAGAGAGAGGGTTTGGTTTACAGAGTGTTTCAGAGTGTTTCAGATTTTGGCAGCTCTTAGTGACAAGCTCTCAGAGAGACGAAGAGGTTTCAACTGGTTTGTTATGCTTCCAAGCCTCAGCCATCCGCTCGGTTATATAAAGACCATGATGAAGAGGCAGACACGCGCATCATGCGCCGTTCGCGCTAGACGACAACATGCGGCGGCTTTTTTGATTGCAGCCTTTTTATGGGATTGCGGGCACGGCCTTTTGATAAGATTGGGCACACATTTTGAGGGAGCAACTTTTTAAGGTCCGACAAGGACTCTGTAAACTGTCCCGACATTTGATTCCGGTTAGCTCCTTCATGGGTCCGACAAGACTCTGTTAAACTGTCCCGACATTGATTCCGGTTAGTTTTCTACAGGATCCAGCAAGACTCCGTAAACTGTCACAACAACTATCACCAACATTGTCTTTGCTTACAACGGTCCGACCATGACCCCATAAACTGCTTCCATACATCGGTCAACACGAGCCAGTGTCTTCTCCATCGGTCTGCCATAACCATACAGTCTTCCTACAACGGTCTGACACGACCATACAGTCTTCCTAAACTGTCTTCTTAACATCGGTCCAACACCGAGCCAGTGTTCCTCTCCATCGGTCTGCGCATAACTCATACAGTCTTCTACAACGGTCTGATACGACCAGTACTAGTGTCTCCTATCCATTTTTTTTTCAAGATATTTTCTTGTTTTGTTACTCTCCTTCCAAACTCAAAGTTGGTTAGTATCCTATCCCCGTTGAGTTTGCGGGGGGCTGTTTTAAAACCTACATCACCCTACTCCACCTAACTACAGCCTACCACCAACCTATACCACATACTACACATCTACCACTACCACCTTACACCACCTAACTCCACTACATCTCCTATATAAGGACCCCGCGAAGCATCCTCCCACCGGGTGTGGGCGCTGTACAGTCGAATACGTGAACCACTTTATATACAAATTACAATCAATACATGATTTTTAACACGTTGGGTGGGTTGTGCATGGCCATGTGGGCGACCATTGGGTGAGAGGCGGGGGATGGGGACCAAAAACAAGTTCGCCCGTAATAGTGATTAATAATAAAAGTCAAAAAAATTTTGGTCTTTAATTTTAAAAGCTTGGCTTTAAATAATTTTTAGTAGTTTTGCATACTTTAACTAAAAATTTGAATATCATGTTTAATCCGTGAGCCTGTTTGAGAATGATTGAGATTTCAGTTTAGAAGTCAAGAAAAATTATAAAATAATAAAAATAATACTTCTCAACTCTTTACATATGTGTTATGTCTTTCCAGTGTATAAAATTCAAAAGTCATCACAAATATGCTAATCTTTTTTTATTTTATATTTAAGCCAAAAAATCAAAAGTTTATTAAAAATTTGCATGTTATCAACGAAGCAGGCCTAAATAATAAAAAAAAAATAGTGTGCTATTCGAATCCAAAGGTTAGACTCACATTTCCAACCCAAATGAGATGCTAGTCTATTACAATATGAAAAATCTGATTTATCAAAGACGACTTCTCCCCAAATCACCCAAAATGGACCGTTGCAAAGCAAAATTTAAAAAAGTGAGTCACAATCTCAATATTTTTTAAATTTCTCATTACATTGCAATTTGTCTTGCTATTTGTCTTGCTGCCATTTTGGAGAAAGTAAGTGAGAGAAATTATATAGATGTGACACTATTGTTAAATTATTTAAAGTCAACCTTTCTGTCTCAAAAATTCTTTAATTATTAACTAATCAACTCTTTTAACAATACTAGATCTTAAAATGCTAAAGGCTTCTCTCTCCCGGTTCGAGATCGGGACTGGAGCATGTTGTTGGGCACGGTGGGGATCCACCACAAGTATTGTTTTGATAATTTACTGTTTAATATATAGGAGCTCGTCGAGTATTTTACTCTCTCTGTAAAAATTGACATTAATTCAAAATCGATTACCTATTATGATCAAGTTCAGATTTCTGTCTATCGGTAAAAATAATTTCAAAATAAATTGTCTGAATGATAAAAATCTAATCGATCA